ACTGTACTGTGGATTATCAGGATAATATGAAGCATTTTAAGTTTAATTTAAGACTGGACAACAATATAATTTTGTATGTCAAAACAATAATACATTACAGTAAAACCTCGAATTGAAGCCCTGAACTTTTTGTGAATCCAGAATCGGCCTACAATTATTCCTAGGCCTATATCACAAACCACCTCCTTAGGCTAGGCATAAAGTTTTAGGTAGGCATAGTCTAAGCCTGGGCTAGCTAACCAGGTCCACTACTACTCGAGCCTAGGCCTACTACTACTATTACTGGGTGTCGGTCAATCCGTACCCAAACAAACCCGTACCCCTACCAACCCGTACCCAAATTTAGGTCAATCCGTACCCACGTTTGGTCAACCCGTAGACACGTTTGGTCAACACGTACAAACGTCATTTTGGTCAACCCGTACCCAAAAGATATTTGTATCTGTAGGATCTCGTGCGGTCTGTAAGATTGTCGTTGCCGCTAATATTAAGGTAAGTTTTCTTTTCCTCTGGGCCTATTCTTTATTAGTGTTCTTTTTTTCTCTTTTCTCATAATTTTCAATTAGTTTCAATTTTCTCTGCCTCGTTTTGTTTTCCTCTGGGCCTATTCTTTATTAGTGTTCTTTTTTTTCTCTTTTCTCATAATTTTCAAATTATTTTTAATTTTCTCTGGCTTTAATTTTTCTTTTTCTTTTCTTTTGCCTTTGGGCCTATTCTTTATTTCTTTATTTATATATTTACTTATTTATATTTAGGTCTACTTGTATTCATTTAATTACTAGACCCTACATTGTAAAACATTGTGGAAACAAATAACGACACCACGAATGGAGCCATAATATGTAGCGCCCCCAACTTGCGTGTTTCGGCTTCTTTGGCAATCATAAATTTTTTGATTGAATGCATTCTATCAAAGGTAATATATCTTCTAATCGGTAAGTTAGGCATTCATAATACAGTTTAACATGATTAATATCTAAATAGACAATATAATTTGCGTAATGTTCTATATAGTAAATAATATTTTTCATCAAACTTGGGAACGGGTTCGTGTACAGGTTGACCAAAGGTGGGTACGGATTGACCAAAATTTGGGTACGGTTTGTGGGGTACGGGTTGGCATGGGTACGGTTTGACATTTAACAGGCCTACTAGGCTAGAGAGCCAGGGCATACAGTAGCTTAGCCTAAGGCTTAGGCCTAGGCCCCTAGGCCTAGATGAAAAAAAATTGAAAAAAAGACATTTGATAAATTTCATCAAATATTAATATCTTCTTTTATTTAGTAAACCGATGAATACACCTTTATCATTTTTAGGTATATTAAATACAATTTTAGAAAAGGCAAGACTGAGGCCTAGCCTAAGCCCTGATGTTAAGAAATAGATGATCCATAGGAACTCTATGAACGCAAGGCCCGGACCATAGCATAGCTTGGTCTACAACAATGATTTGCTAGTCACAAACTTGGCCTGGGCTAAGCTTTAAACAACATGAAAAAACCCGCCTATTTAACTCAGTACAAATTAAAATTTAAGTAATATACCTTGTGTTCATCGGTCGCACTCGGACAGCTACTTTTACAGACGCCATCGTTGTTTATTCAAAAGGAAATAATTATTAGATTGCATACCACACAACTCCACAGACGGCCATATTTCGTCAAATGTGTGTACCGCCCCTATTATGATCACATGACAATAACAAATTCTGGCAGGTTTATTCATAATTTATTGATTATCATAATAGTAATATAGTACTGGTACGGTAATGGTAACCCTTGTCGTAATTACAGTTTATTATTCATGGTAGGCCTAATGATAATTGCAGTGATATAGCTTGATAGATCAGCAAGTTCAAAGGTAAAACGACAAAGATTTTAAATCCGAAGGAAGGACGGCATTGTAGACGTATCCTATGCAACATATCCCCACCCTCCCCCACTTTCTTTAAAATCTTTAAAATATTTTAAACTAGCTTTCCCATTTTTAACAGGTCATATAATAATAATAATAATAATAATAATAATAATATGCAGAAATTTATAACGCGCCAATTCAAAAAACATTATCAAAGGCGCAGTGAGCAAATAACCCAATTAAAACGATTTTGTAAACAAAAAAGTTTTCAAATTATTTTATAGGCCTATTTGTAAAAGTTTAGAATCGTTTGTTGCTTCCCCTATATCAAACTTGTGAGCGCTATACACCAAGACTTTAAAACATGTTCATCATTATGTAAATAAAATAAATATAGGCCTAATATTGAAAACAAACAACTTAAAACAAAATCGGTGTATGAACTCAAATAAATATTTACAATGGATTTTAGTGGTCCATTGTTATCTATTTTTTTTCAATCCAATTTTTACATTTGTGAGTGCCAGTGTATAATAGATGCAAAACAAATATTAGCAGTTATCTTTGTATATCATTTCAGACTGATTAGCATGCATTAATATGTACTTGGTCATCTTGTAAACATTAGAAACTTTCGGATCATGCTTGAATTCAGAAAACGCTAAAACCGCACGATTACAATACATATTCATTGTAATATAGTTCAGCTATAATACTCAAAACAAACAGCTTAATAACAAAAACGGTGTGAAGGCCCGTTTCTCTAGCAACGATAATGATAACGATAAAAAGAAAAGCAATTGCTCATATAGAAAATAAAAGAAATAAATGAAGTTTTCACACTAGCACGATTCGATAACGATTCATCGTGTATACGATAAAAAAAATATTTTCACAAATCAAACCAAATGACGTCATATCATGGGAAATCGATAAATTCGTAGTAGTAAAACGATTTCATCGTTTTCCTATGATTATGTCGTCATTTTATTTGCTCTTTTGAAATTCTCTTCAGTTCGTCTTTGTAGGGCAGGACACTCATTTTTTGGTGATAGGCTCTACTAATATTGCTATAGGCTATTCTCCAACAGACTACCAAACTAGTTTCTCTTATAATTCATCTGATTTCTGTTTTTCCATCTGCCCTTCAGTTTTTCTTTGTGGGAGAGGCTTTCTTACTGGTGGATACTCCATCAGTTTCAATGTTGTGTTGTGGAAAATAGCACTTATCAAATAGGGTAGTTCATCAAACTAATTTCTTATGACATACCCAACAAACCATAATGTGGAATATAAGGCCAAAAAATGGTTTGTTTACACTCCTCCACCCGCCCCTAACTCACTGAAAAAAATAGGGGCAGAAAAACAAAAACAAAACAAAAAACAAAACAAACAAAAAAAACAAAAAAAAACTTTAAAAAGTTTCTTTTTAAACTTTTTTCTTTACGAATAATACACAAATGTGATTGAATTTATTTTTATTTTTTGCCAAATGCCCTACAAATTAGTCTAAAGATGTCTGATGTAAGATATTGCTATACTAGGCCTCTGTGGGTTATTTTTATTCCATCTATTGAGTATTTAAAAAATAAATAAATAAATAATTTTTCCACCCACCCCTATTTATCATTAAAAAAAAGAAGGGCAAACAAACAATTTATTTTTAGGCCTAATTTGAAGGCCATCTTAAATTTTTGCAAGTGGCTGAATTTGACTTTTGATGGTACAACTGTATGCTCTAACAATAAAATCTCAAATCACAGACAGGAAAAAACACTGTTCTATGGTACGGTATATTAGGGGAGTGAACGGTCAATATTAACATTTTGCGGCCATTCTTGGAGGCCAACTTCGATCTCTGCAACCTCTAATGGCTGGAATTGACTTTTGATGGCGCTACTGTCTATCATCTCAAAGCACAGAATAAAAACAGACCACTGTTCTATATGGAATATTAAGGGAGTTAAAGGGTATATATTACAGTTTGTGACCATTTTGGCGGCCATCTTGGATTTATGCAACAGCTAATGGCTGAAATTGATTTCTGATGGTGCCACTGTACGCCCCTATTTTCTTAAATCATAGGCTAAAAAAGCCACTGTTCTACATGGAATATTAAGGTAGTTATGGTCAATATTACAATTTGGCAGCAACCGTGGATTTCTGCAACCACTTATGGGTGAATTCGACATTTGAAGGTGCCACTATAATTATGCCCTGACACCAAAAATAACAGACTCTAAAACTGTTGTTCTACTGTATGTGGAATATTATGGAAGTTATGACAAGTATCAACAATTTGGCGGCCATATTGGATTTGGAGGCTTTCCAGTCATTTTTGAGCTTGCCATACAGCAGATTTGAGTTCAGCATCCCTCAAACCCCCAAAAAGCTTGTATGCCATAAATTAAAACAATTTACTTTCGGAAGTCATATTTTTGGGAAATTGACCCAGTCTATGTATGAAATTGAAATTTCTCATTAAATAAACCAATTTTATAAAATAGCAATTAAACCGAACCAATTTAGTATTTTCATTTGACAATTTCGATGTTCGCGGCAGTAAATCCCATTATTGACAATTTATCGTAAATGTTGGTGGCGCTGTTTGGTTCAGATAGTAATAATTTATCGGATTCCTAATTGCGTCTCTCAGTATGAGAAATTTACAGAGTACACAATTCATTTAAATACAAAATTTAACTTATCGACAGGCAGGTAAATTTCAGTAGAAATACAACTTTACTTCACACAGGGGAGCATCACATATTATCGTCGTCGTCATCATCATCATCATCCCCACTCACTATCATCCTCATCATTAATATCACAGTATTTTTTTTATCATTACCAAAGTCCTAAGCTAAATCAATAACTTCAAAAACGAAAGTGGGCAGACACATAGATTTTATTCTGAATATTGCACTTAAATCAATAAAATATACTATTTATTATTAGATGTGACCAACATGCATTAAAATTGTTTTACTAACCAACAGAAGGTTAAATTATATATATATATATATATATATAAGAGTGGGTTTGCATGTATGCTCCAAGTGGAATAAAATGCAAAAGCAATGAAAAAACGGTGCACATTCATTGAAAGTTGACTTGCGGAACACAAATTTATTAAGCTATAACAAAATCAAACGGATATTTCGATAGCCTTATAGATTAAAATTAATTAATTTAATGTACTTTTACTTGCACCTATGTTTTTCACCTGTCTCTTATACACATCTAGCTTATTCAGAAACTTTAGATAGCTAAATAGAGAGCGTGGTATTCAAGTGTGACATTGTTAGTTAAAATACGGGTTTTCCCAATGCAGGTATATTATAGGCCTCTTTAAGTTTCAATTGGTGTGTATTTGCAAAATCCAAAACAGTGAAACGGCTCTTACCAGAGAAAAAAAAACACGTCAACTTGAAGTGTCTTACTAGTGGTACAAAAAAATTATTGTTATATTTAGATAGATGATACAAGCTTTACTTCAGACTTTGATTCAGATTCAGGTTAGGTACAACCGGAGTAAGATCATTTACGTTTAGAAATATAAAACATAATTTAGAGAAAATTTCCTCAAATAAACTGATAAATTTTGTGCTTGTTTTCCTTCTAAAATGTGCCTCAAAACACCTTTACATTTGGTAACTTAACTCAGAACATTTGCTACCATGAAACTTTTCAGGAACATTGAAACACAATTTTTGTCAAAATATCAATTCAGATATAGTTTCAAATTTTAACCATAACCAGCGTACAAGACTCATTTTAACAAGACACATTGTGTTTTAATGATTTACTAGATTGATACAGTAGAACTGCGGAACTAAAACGATAAAATGCAGCAAGTGGAGAAAGTATAATGCTAGTTATATCAAAAATTCCAAAATGTAAACTTTTACTTGACATGGTATTTACACTGAAATCTGTAGCAAAAAAGATATCTCTCAACCAAGTAATGGTGTTAGAAATCATCAAATAAATCAAACAGCGTCGCAATTCAACAGCGCCCTCGTCGACACTGCTAATTCGCTGCGTTTTCAGGATGAGCATAGTTTGAATGAAAACTTCTATCGTATTTAATGTTGCCATGACCATGACACAAACCTGACTGGCATTGGTAAGAGCTATGTTTGATGAATTTTCATTGGTAGTCAATGTCGGATTCTTAACATGATCAATCACATAACCAGTAGCTAATACGAAATTGCAAAAATTTAGCAGAATTACACTAATTACTGAAAAAAGAAGCAATGTTTCGCTTCTGTTGAGTGATTTTAAGATAGTCCGTCGGTTTTTATTTAGGTATTTCGTGGCAATTCCGCCAGCTAAAACCTGCAAAGTGCAGTGTGTTAATAGGATGAACATTTTAATAGCAAGGTAGATATCACCTTTGTACAATACATATACTTGAAGTATACTGACTACAAATACAGATACACCTAGAAGTAATAAAAATAGAATTAAGGTGATGAATACGTAACTACTATTCACTCTAGGTGGAATCCCGTCGCATGCAGTGTGGTCAAATCTCACGTTTGTGTAAATAATGTTTCCCTCATCCAGTCTTCCAATAATGTTGCGGTTGATTATGTTGCCTCGAGTTTTGCTTCTAGTGTTGCCTCTACTATTGCCAGTAGTGTTAGTAGTAATGATTTTAGTGTCGCCTCTAGTGTCGCCTGTCGTATTATTAATGCTTCTAGAGTTGCCTGCAGTGTTGGTTCTGCTATTAGCTTTATTGTTGCTTCTAATATTGCATGTAGTGTATATTTCCGTTGAATGCAAACCATTCCAGTAGTGTAGGAGAATACTTACAGCCAAAATATTGTAT